TGCTGTGTTGGGTGTACCTGTGTGTGATTTGGGGTTGAGACTGCTAGTGTCTACGCCCGCTTCTGCTTCTGTGATTGCTTCTGAATTGTGTGTGGGTTGCCCGGTTGTGGTGAATGAGAAGAAGTACAAGGTGAACCTGATTTGTTTACCTTTGGTGGATATTGACATAATCTTGGGAATGGATTGGTTGTCTGCCAATCGCATTCTAATAGATTGTGCCAATAGGCGGTTGATCTTTCCTCAGGAGGAGGATGAGTTGTTGATCTCAGCTGGCCAGGCTGAGTCATTATTGAGAGATGGAGCAGAGTGCTGTCTTCTGCTTGCTGCTATGAGTGTGGAGACCGAGAGGGTCTTAGCTGATATCGATGTAGTGAGGGAGTATGCCGAGGTGTTCCCTGATGAGGTGCTTAGGTTGCCTCCTGTTAGGGAGATGGAGTTCAGCATTGACTTGGTTCCAGGTGCGATACCAATGTCAGTAACTCCCTATAGGATGGCTCCTGCTGAGCTGGTTGAGCTAAAGGGTCAATTGGAGGACTTGTTGGAAAAGCAGTTGGTGTGGCCGAGTGTTTCGCCGTGGGGTGCTCCTGTGTTGTTGGTAAAGAAGAAGGATGGGGGTAGTCAACTGTGTGTTGATTACCGGCAGCTGAACAAATTGACCATTAAGAACAAATATCCACTCCCCCGGATAGATGACTTAATGGATCAACTGAGGGGTGCGTCGGTGTTTTCTAAGATTGATTTGAGGTCAGGATATCACCAGATTAGGGTGAGGGAGAGTGACATACCGAAGACTGCTTTCAGGACTAGGTATGGCCACTATGAATATGTTGTGATGCCGTTCGGCGTGACCAATGCCCCCACAGTGTTTATGGACTACATGAACAGGATCTTCCGGCCGTTTTTGGATAAATTCGTGGTGGTGTTTATTGATGATATATTGATTTATTCAAGGACCCTTGAGAAGCATGAAGAGCACTTGAGGACAGTATTGGAGATTTTGAAAGCAAAGGTAAGCTTTCAAAATGTGAGTTCTGGTTGGATGAGGTGAAGTTCTTGGGCCACGTGATTTCAGCTGAGGGGATTGCTGTTGATCCGGCTAAGGTGGAGTCGGTGTTGCAGTGGGAGCGCCCGAGGACTGTCACGGATATTCGGAGCTTCGTGGGCTTAGCGGGTTACTATCGGAGGTTCATTGAAGGATTCTCTAAGATAGTAGCGCCTCTGACCCAACTGACTAGGAAGGAGCAGTCATTCATTTGGACAGATGCCTGTGAGCAGAGTTTTGTTGAGTTGAAGATGAGGTTAACTACTTCTCCTGTGCTGGTGTTGCCAGATTTGGGTGAGCCTTTTGACGTGTATTGTGATGCTTCTCATCAGGGTCTGGGGTGTGTGCTGATGCAAAATAGGAGAGTGGTGGCATATGCTTTAAGGCAATTGAAGATTCATGAAAGGAACTATCCTACCCATGACTTGGAGTTAGCAGCTGTGGTGTTTGCCTTGAAGATCTGGAGGCATTACTTATATGGTGCCCGGTTCAGCGTCTTCAGTGATCACAAGAGTCTGAAGTACTTGTTTGATTAGAAGGAACTGAACATGAGGCAGAGGCGGTGGATGGAGTTTCTGAAGGATTATGATTTTCAGTTGATGTATCATCCGGGCAAAGCCAATGTGGTGGCAGATGCGCTGAGTAGGAAATCCATCCACATGTCGAGTATGATGATTAGAGAGCTGGAGCTGGTTGAGGGGTTCAGGGATTTGAATCTCTGTGTGGAGTTAGCTCAGGATCACATTAGTTGTGGGGCAGTTACCATAACTAATGAGTTCTTGAGGCAGGTTGGACTCAAGCAGTTGCAGGATGAGGAGTTGGTGAGACTTCTTGGTTTGCTGGGTACCGAGAAAGCTGCTGGTTTTGAGCTGG